GTTTGCATCTTCTTCTTTGATACAACAATGAAATCGGGGGTTTAAACGCGAAGACGGGGGTGCACGTCGCGAAAATATTTTCCGTAGGTGGGGCAAAACGGTTGATTTGGCCCCGTCTAATTCAGTGGCACGTGGACAGAATTAGACGGGTCCAAATCAACCCGTTTTGCCCCACCTACGGAACCCAACTAAGCCCTTACCAATTCCTTGTGCGAATTATACTTTACCATTGCATGCCACTTCCAATTGCGTTTAAGAATTTACGTGCACTTGCGGATACAAGTTCATAGGGCGAACACAACGACAATTGACAAACAGAGCCAAAGAACACTTGTTAGATTCGGGTCATTTTGTGGACCCTAAGACTTCTTTCGGACACGAACAACTCATACCCTGCGTTTCCTGGAGGCAGCCCATATACGGCGGCCAAAACTCGATTTGTGTAAACAGTTGGAGTATGTGGTTAACCTAACTTTGCCCTGCTAACATCCGACTACCTGATTTACAGAGTTCTCTGCCCACCTTAATGTCCTTTTTCCTCTGCTTTTCGTTCCACTTTGTTTTAGATCGCTTACTTTACTGATTAGCCTTCTTGACCATGTCCTATGACCTTCCTGTACGAACTCAATTTTGTATTTTCACATTCGTTACTGACAGAACAGATTACATTGGGAAATATAATGTATTTAAGCAAAACATCTAAGCGTTCTTACTTCGTGGCATCTGAACTGCTGTTCTTGGCGTTTCCTGTGCCAAAATTATTACTTTATTTGTCCGACAGAATGGATTGTCGGCAACGGATTGCATTTTTCCAATGTAATAGGTTATTTCCATTAAAACAACTCCAGTTTATAATAATAATAATTCGGCGCGTAAATACACCATGGATTATATATCCGAAAAACACCAGAGACCGCGGTTCAGATGCCAGTGAATAAGAGCGCTTACGTGTATTGTTTAAATGCTTGATTCATTATTCTAGCTCTAGTTGGCAGAGTTGGTCTGTTCGACTGATATCATGGAGGAAGAGCCTAAACTTGCACATACAAAATTGGTATCCTAGTTGCTAAGAACACGGTTGAAAGACGGTCAAAGCCCCGGGTGCTAACAGGAGAGGGAAAAGAAACGAACTTTGCCAGGGTCCTATTTCAAGAGGACGCACCCAGCCTACTTCTATGAAGGCACCCGAGTCAAGTATTATCAAGACTAGCTTTGACTAGCAAAGCAAGGAGAGCTTAAGTGAAGTATCTGACTGAATGCGCAGCTGAACTCGAGTGCCCCTCCTACAAATCCTGCCACACAGAGACAAGCTGGTCCTGCCAGGTCCCAGGTCACACAAGGTCCAAGGGATTGTGTTGAGACTGGAGATAGAGACAAGAACCTGTGGATCAAATGCACAGACATATTCTTCCGACCGCCTGTCCAACAACGCGGCCGGCCAACTTCATTGCCATTCCTGATGTGGCTCGGTTGTTTATCCTGTCTGCGTCCACCGAAGAACGCTGCGGCCGTGGGCTAATCTGCAGGACACCCGTTTCCGTTTCTCTGTTGGGCTGGCGCATGCCAACTGGCACAGTTTCTTACTGCCAATTCTGGCACGGAATGACTGCAACGGAGGCAGGGTGATCATTGGCTACGCGGTGAACCTACAACAATACGGAACCGATCGAATAAATAAAGGATAGACACCGCTGGAAAGGCAAGCGTTAAGGTCAAATTAACTGTCAGTTTGGGAGATAGGCGGTCACCCATCGGATACACAATGAACTCGTCCCGCTGTGCTTTGGAGCTCGCGCTCGATTCCAACCAGTAGCTACCGTATTATAGGCAGCAAGCCCATTCCAGTCTCCCTCTTCCGTGTCTGTAATGTACTTCTGCATACAATTGTCAGTTTTTTGTGGGGGGTAGTGGCGTTAGAGGGGAGAGCAACAATGCCGAGCAATACTAATTGTTGCCAACAGCCAGTCAGAAGACTCGGTGAACGTGAACTTCCGCGGCAGAATTCCTGTATTACAGGAAAGAAAGCTCTCCACAAGCCACACAATTTCTTATAGCATGATCGAAAAGCCTGCCATAACGGGGGTGAATGTGCCACAGTTTATAAATGAGCAGGAAACTGAGGAGTGCATTGTCAAGCATTGTATTCTGAGTTCGACAAGGGGTCTTACGTACTTATAACCAGCCTCAGCAATTACCATACGGAGCATTAAGAATAGAAGCTGATAAGTTCAAACCTAAAATATATTCCTAAGACTTGCAAGACTTTGAGATAACCCTGCATTTGCACAAGCGATCTGAAGATAAACGCCGTCTAAACCTCCCTGTTGATTAGCTGGAATAAATTCAGCCGCAGAATAAGCACATGGGATACGGAGGACTTCCAATAACAACATTGAAATCCGCCTGATTGGGGCACTACGAATGACGTGGATGGACCCTCGGGGGTGATCCTGATCTTTGACAGTATCACCAACGTACGGAAAACTACTGTAATGAGCGAACTGTTACTAACATATGTATACGCACCAGTGTCTGCCTAACCCAATTCTGGTCAATCCCCTTCGAGGCTGACTTCCACTCCAACTAAGTATGGCGACTGCCAAGCTCAGGCACTTCTCACGCTGCATTCTAGTGGGTGGCCATGCAATCGTCCACCTGTTAAGTTTCTTCAACATACCTGTGTTCAGAATACACGCCAAACCTTTTTTTCCGCACGCGGCAGGGGTTTTAATTATAAACCACTTTGTGGTACTACTTCGTACTCTACCATGGATGCAAGCAAACATATACGCATGACAGAGTCAACAGCCACTCGATGATCGTGACACTTCGAAAAATCTCATTTGACTATATGCTCTGACAGAGACATTTCTAGTGGTAATATATGCAACTCTTAAAAACTGCAATCTTCGTTGTAAACGAACAAGGACGACGACCTCGAATGCTAGTCAGCTGAAACTTCAAATAATGTGGTCCATGATCAAAGTACGCAATTTACACGTTTAGCCCCGTGATCGAACAGCTCCCCGTTTACCAGAAATGTGCGTGGCAAGACGGCAGTATGTACCATCAATAATACAGTCATTCACACATCATAGCAGACACGAGTGTCGTTAAGCATGAATCTACAACGTTAGCTGCTAGATCTCAAAGAGTTCGTTTACCACGCGAGGTGAATATGTGGGCATCTTAGATACTGAGATTCCACTACAGACCACCCTGCATAAGCCATTTCTTCAGTCTATGCTAATCTGTTTATCTACCATGACCGTCGGAAGATTAAGCTCCACGCTCTGACGATGAGAACGAGCATGTTTTCGAAAGGTCAGCAACACACTTTGGTCGCTCTCCTTCCTCTTCTGCGGATGATGAACACGTTATTAGATCTGGGCGCCGAATACTTACGCATATTAATATACCTTCCATCTATCGAGCTGGCTGACAAAAACCTATTATTTAAGCTCTCCCAAGATATTATTTACGAACCAAACGGATTTTGCTGACAGATTAGGTCATAAAGTTCGGCATAGTTGCTTAATAACTCGAAATTAAACTAATCCCTTCCACTTATACAGGACGTGCCTGACACTGGCAATTCAACAAGGCAGACAGGTTACTACGTCGCGAGGTAGGGTGCTTCAGGCATTAGAAAGACAGAACAACAAGCGACATTTTCACGTGGAGACAGCATATAGCTTACTAACCGAGTCTGTGGGAACCAAAACAAAAAACACTTATCTATGCCTAAGGGATTAAGTTACTAGACACATGACATAACACTGACCGTTTTACATCTGGCAATTAACGCTTCACAAGCATTATTTTGTTGACAAGGTTCATGCAACAAACAAGGAACCCTTGTTCAAATTAATCTATCACCTAGGATTTTTAGTTCTACGTACACATAAACACATGATATACCACAGGCTATCGAAGATCCCAAACCCTTCATCGACTAACTACTTACTACGTGAACCTAACAGAAGACAACAACAAACATGTGCGAGGATGCATTTGACGTTAAAAAGCGCCGAGGAGGTATAGTAAAAGGTTTAAAGCTGTCCGCAGTCAGATATTTCGACACGCTGAGATGTCTTACCAGACTGCGATCCCAAACTCTCCATCGTTTTGATTATATTCTGACCTTCAACGACCTCACCGAATACAACATGTTTGCCGTCCAGCCACGACGTCGCGGCAACCGTTAGGAAGAACTGGGAGCCATTTGTGTTGGGTC